TAAAATTGACATTTGGTCCATCCAAGGATACCTGGAGCAATTTCTTTTTATCTACTTCTGAAGATTCCCTAATATATATATTATTGAAACAAAATACCCTGCAGAAATAGCAAAAGCATGCCTAAAAAAAAAAAAAAAAAAAAAAAAAAAAAAAAAATCCATTGCGAGATATCTTCTTCTCACTTCAACCTTCACACTGTGCCAAAATTTAACATAAAAGTCCATTATTTGAGCTCTCTGAATAATTCCATTCATTGAACCATAGTATGTATCCGGTGTTCGAAAGACCAGAAATAAGAACCAAATGACACTAAATATGACATTTTTGTACGTCCCTGGGTCATAGCTTTAGCTTTATTGCTGTCATTAAATATTTTCTGGGACAGATAAGCAGCATAATAAACACATAAAAAGAAATAGGTGAACAAACAAGTTTCATGTCCACAGTAATTCTGCAGCTAACACTTTGGCCTTAGTTATGAAGGGGTTTAAATTTAATGATTCAGCAACTGGTGCCAGATATTGGTGTTCAGAACTGTTTTTATCAGTACAAGAAATTTTAAAAACATTTTCAAGTTCATCTTCGTAAAAATTATTTTCTCATGCTTTACTGTGGTGAAAATATTATTGTAGTATGTGGTAAAAAATATTATGGCACCATATGTGGTGAAAATATTAATTGGAAGAGGAGCTATATGTAGTGAAAATATTTGTGGCAGTAAAAATATTTATATATTTTAATTTCTTATGTAATTATCAGCGAAGAAATTATAACATGATTAAGAGTACATCACGTTGTTTCCGCAATAACCGAATGACAGGGATAAAATATGTGACCCACAGAGATAGCAAAAAAAGTACTTACCCAGAGTATGACTCTGTATGTTACCAAATCAATTATATTTATTCTTCATCTGATATGAGATAAGCATTAATATAAATAATTTTATCAACCAGACAGACGAAAATATTTGAACATCAAGCCGAGTGATGCGCATCACCAGAATTAACGTTGCACTCAGAATAAAGTCAATCTTTCTTGATCCACTCGAAACAAAGTCTTGGTGTAAAAGGAACAATCAAAATTTGATGGCAGTCATTAAGCATACTTGATCAATCCTGGTATTTTTGCATTTTCTTCTTTAGATCAGGAAGTTTCAGGTTTCACAAACACGTGCTGCGAAGATTTCTCAAAAGGAGGAAGAAGCCGAACAAAATTTATTTTCTGCAGCAATGTACAGGAAACAGGAGTAATTATTTTCTTGAATCTTCATGTAAAAATCTCACTAAAAGGATTTTTCATTTACACAGTTTATGTGGCTTGTGGTTGTTTTCCTTTTCATGTCATTAAGCATGATGTTTTTTTGGCAACTTCACATGCATGTTAGGAGCTCCTTTAACGAGTTGCAACCATGGACTCCACCGAGTACTGTGATTGGAAAATGTCATTTTTGCAGAAAATTTACAGCTAAAGAAAGAAAGAAATCTATTTAAAAATAGTTTAAAATTAATTCAAGTATTTTATATTTATTTAGCAGCATACATAAGTAAAAAACATGATTAAAAAATTTCTTGATGGTATGTCATTACATTGATGGACTTATAGTTTCACGAATATGCTAGAGAAAATTGCCTGAAATTGGAAAGCATTATTGACTAATAACAAATAAATTTAGAAAGAAAAAGCCACATCAAATGATATGAATAACATTAAAAGTTGAATTACAATAATCAACAGTATTTTGGCAAATACAGATATATTAAATGATTAGCCTAGATAACTGATTATTATTTTAATTGTTACTGTAAAATAACAAAGCCATTTATTGAAAAGAAAAAATCTGATGCGTACATCACGACTTCCTTGTACGGAATATTAAATTATACGCATTTTTTCTTGCGTTTCACTTAAACTTATTGGATTGAATTAAATCTACTTTGTCGATAATGATAACCCAACAGATAATGCACTCTTAAAATTCACTATACGTCAAAGTCTTTAATTCGGACTCGTCGGGACTTGACGATTCCGGATTATAGATCATCAGTTTAAAATCTGGTAAGATGCATGCAGAAATTATAAAATTAAAATATGAAACCGTAATTTATAAATAAGAACAATTATGATCTAAAGGGTATCAAAATTTACAAAAAAAAAGCTTAATATTTATTTGTTTACTTTATTAAACATTTCTTTCAATGCGCATGCGTAAAGCATACCTTACGCATAGTCGAAATTAGAAAATTGCAACCAGAAAACTATTTGATGTGTATTCGTGATATTTATAATGACTAGGAATTTGATTTAAATCATATCAAAGACGGAGTACGTCGAGATTAAATACTATATTTAGTAAGGAATTATGAGCTGAATAAAATAAAAACATCTGCCCTGAAGATAACGATAGTGCTGACAGATCAACTTCCAGTTCATTGCCCGCCGCGACGTCCCCCCTGCGCAGAGCAGCGTGAAATTGATAAACAGATTTCGGAATGGTTAGATAAACAAAGGATATGCCTTTATCCATTTTTTGTAGCAATTCGTTTTTTGTTTGATGGACATCGAAACATACTTCGCTTTGTAGATCCTTTGGGAGCTCCAGCATCGGAAATTCTATTTGACATAATCGAAAGTTCAAGCTTACTTTTATAAAATTGCTTTTACAGTCTGCAAAAAATAATAAGCCGGATCCAATTCGAAGATTAAGGAACAACGCAATCATCAACATTAACTGAAATAGATAATTAGATAATTTTACCTTATACCGTCCGTTATACATTAAACGCGCACGTGGAAAACATATTCTGCACTTGCATAGACGCATATGCGCAGTCGTAAATGTCTTGCGCGCAGAAAGATTTTAGCTTTGAGGTCCGGATTATAGATCATTCCGGATTATGGGTGTCCGAATTAACGACTTTTGACTGTTTTTGTTTACCATAGTGACACTGGTGCTACGCTAAGTTCCCTTAATAGTGTTACATTTCATTCATTTTATAACTCAGAATGCACAAAATTTATATCATCTAAAGAATTATCTAATCGTTGCCATATGTTCTATTCAAATATTATAATAAACGTAAAAAATATGTATAAAAGAAATTACACTAAAAAAGGTTTTCACAGACGATTCAGTATTTCCCATTCATTTACTTCAGTCCTCACTTCTCTACAAGGCTAAAATAATCTACATTTAAAATTATGAAGCAAAATCTTGAACACTTATTTCCTCGAATAAATTCCAGAATGGATTAAGCATGATTTAATTCGCAATAATAAATGAAGGCGTTATCTTTGTTGTTGCTTAGTCTCTATAGGTTGGCAACAAATCTACTATTTTGCCAAGTTTGAAATGTAAAAAAACATGGCCAACATGGTAAAATTACTTCAGCTTAGCCACCCTTAAACAACTTTTAAATTGTTGATGATTCTACAAATACTGCATGCAGATTTACTAAAGACATAAAAACCTTACCTGGAAGATAAGAACAATATAATTCAATCATTTTTAAAGCAAAAAATGCAGAACTTACAAACATACATGAATATAAAGAAACTGAGATCACTGAGCCGAGTAACAGAATGCATATATATATATATACAATACAAAGTACATAATCCGGACTCGTCGGGACTTTGGCGATTCCGGATTATAGATCATCAATTTAAATCTGGCAAGATGGCACACAGAAATTATAAAATTAAAAATATGAAACCATAATTTATGAAATAAAGAGCAATTATGATCTAAAGGGTATGAAAATTTACAAAAAAAACTTAATATTTATTTGTTTACTTTATTAAACACTTCGTTCAATGTAAGTTGTTTCCTTTTTTGTGCTAATACTTTCTCTTTAATTCTCTCTTCTATAAACAGACATAATTACTTGTTCAGTTACAAAGTTCCACTGTTCAAATCCTGTAATTGCTGTGTCGAGATTACCGACTAACTTGTCAATCGAAATTTTTTCATTTTCAGTAACATTTCGTTTTCGTTCTCCGTCACTTTCTTCACTATCTGAAGCGTTCATGTGTAAACGCTTTACGAGCATGCGCAAGTTTGTGGCTTTGAGTTCCGGATTATAGATCATTCCGGATAATGGATGTACGGATTACGGACTTTGTATATACATATATTTACACACTGTTGGTACGGGCGATTGCAACCAAAATATGAGGTGCACATCTACATGTTATAGCAGTCCTACATACAAAATTTCAACATTCTGACACTACTTGTTTTTGTTATGCAAGATATATATGTACGCACACACAGACACCACAAAAAAATTCTCTTCAGAATTCATTTAAAATTAGTTTTATAATTTTTTTTTGGGGGGGGGAAGAGTCCTTTATTCTGTCTTTATGTAAAAATGTCACGCAACAAGATCATTAAATTGCATTTGATAGCTGTAAAAATGGATATTTGCGTTGAAATATGATGCCTGAAACTTTTTGCGATATTTCCTTTTTATTTCGTACAAGGAAGTAAAAAGGGATTTAAAGGATTTTGTTTTGTATGAGGGGAGGGCTGAACAAAATCAGAAATTTCAAATGACATAAGATTGATTACTTATTTTTACTACATATTTAACATGTCTGTTTCTGAATTTGGCTGTTGAGTTCTATCATTGTTTGTGTCTTGAAGATAAATTTTAAATGTGAATTATTTAAAATCAAAGTAAATAAAAATAAAGTTTTGAATAAATATTTTGGCATTTACTCCAAAAAAGTATCACATTTTCTTGTATAATTGCAAAGTCTGATAATCATGATATATCCACGCTGCCAACCATGTTGAAAGGCTTAACAGTTCAATTTGGTTTTTTTTTTTAATAACGCAGAACAATATGATTAAAAAAGCATTAATGGATTTCTTTTAACTTTAAAAATGCATTACATGAATTCTTATCATTTTAACAAGCTAATAACAAAATGTTACATAAACTTACATTAAAAAATATTTAATAACATGCAAATGATTATAAAGTTCACTTACCAGATTTTTTTTTAATTGGAGATGACAGAAAGAAAACAAGCTCTCTAAAACCAAGTGGCAGAATTTTCTTTCGTTCAAAATGCACAGATTTATTTTCTTTGCAAGAACATGAGAGAGCAAAATTCTCAGTTTTCCAGGTAGTGTGGCAACCCTGTATTAAAGATATTTAACTGCATGTCCAAATGAGTTACACATGTAAAATGACTAAAATAAACTATCTGAATGACTTTATACATGGAAAAATTCTTGAGGAAGGGAGTGTATGATGAGTGCATCCCAAACATTTACTATTGACTACAGTGCCTTTTCACATGTTTGGATCACTCTCCAAAACACAGGTGTAGCAGTAAAAAAGATTTATGATAGTTGGCCAAAAAAAAAAAAAAAAAAAAAACAATGTCAGTGGATATTTTGTGCATAATTTTGCAGTTAAAAAAAATCAGACAATAAGCCACATTGCTCAGCTTCTATGTTTTGCAACAGTTCATCAAATGCCTCTTTTCTGTAGCAGCCACACCTTTAAAAAATTATCTGATGTGGACACCACAATTTCCTTGTGCAGCCTATTAAATTACACACATTTTTTGCTGCAATTCATTACAAATTTCTTTCTTGAACTAACTCTAACTTAATTAATTGATCCCTCAAGGCAAGTTAAAAAATGAGACCAAAAATTGTTTTATATTCTGTTCCTTTATTCTGTCTGGTATGTACACATGGCACAAAAAAATAGTCAAAATGGATATTTCGATTGATTATGATACTCAAAATTTTTCACAATTATGATACTTACTTCACTTCGTACAAGGAAGTTAAAAAAGGACATTCGCCTGCTGATATGAACACTGCATACAGCTGATAGTCATAATTTACAGTAGTGTAAAATATCATCAATGGGACAATGTTCCCTTTACAAATGGCTATCCAGGGTCATGAACAATTTCGGATACCAGATGATATAATGAGAGTTAGGTGACACACTTTCATTCCAATAACATCAAGGAAAGGGACTTTTACAATGCTCCTGGCATGCTCACCAAGAGAGGCATTATACTGAATGGATGCAACCAATCTTCCTATGTTTGATGAATATAACATTAGCAGAGATAGCTATTGTCAGGAAGTGATCTTTCCTAAGTGTGTTTGACAAGAGGTACAACAGGAGCAAACTTTGTTTTCCCCTGACTTTAAAATCCTATGGAACACGAGTTGGATGCATTGGGGAAATGATTTTCTACTTAGTTACCTCCATCAGAAAACATTCAATAACTGAACAGATGCACAGAAGAAATGGCATTCTTATCTCAAAAATGTTCAATTATCTGCCATCAAATATACAGAGACAAGCTTCGCAAACACTGCAGTTAAGTGAGGTTATATTCCTTACTAAAGAACATATGTTTATTGCTCTTCCTTTTGTGCTGACAATTATTTGTATCGATGCCATTTTTCCATAAAGCTTTCTTATACTATATCATACTTGCCAACCTATGAAACTCAAAAATCAGGAGATTTTTCACAATGTTAAAAAGACTTTTTAAATGATAAAAATATAGTTTTTAATAATGAATTAACTTTAAGTAGTAACTAATTCTTAAATGCAAGCAACTCAAAAATACCTTACACATAAAAAAAATTTTATTACATGCATCATTTAAGAAAAGAAAAGAAAAAAAAAAAAAAAAAAAAAAGTCACTTTAATCAGTTTTTTGTACAAATGTTATAAACAGTGGCAGATTTTGCTTTCTTTACGAAAGAAACTTCATCATTTTGTTCACAGCAATTGCCACGTAGGCCTGCTTTCGCTAATAAAAGTTTTTCTAATGTGCCATCTCTAATATTAGATCTAAATTTAATCCTCGTTTTCGCAACAACACTGAGAATCCTCTCACACTCTGCATTACTATGGGGAACTGTCAAGATGGCAAGATTTCAGTTTTCCAATTAAACTCCACTGGTGTCAATCGTAGCTGATTTTATAACTTCATCCAAGTTTTCTAATTGTAAACTGCTGTTATGCAGCTGTTGGAACTGTTTCAATTTTTCCTTCCTTTTAGAACTCCTTTCAAGATAATAATAAATATCAACAATGTGTTCATCCACAAGCTAAAGCCTGCCCCTTTTTTCAGCTGCTAAATTTAAGAGGTGACACAGGTGCACCTCATCTAATCTGAATTTTCCTTTCTAAGATGCCTGCAACACCAGCCTTCCAAGCCTACCAATACTGGTGCATTATCGGCACCAAGTGCTAAGCAATTATCCAGAGTGCCTGCAGTTTCTTTTAAAGTTTTTAATAATTAGCTGTGCTATATTAAAGCCTGTCAAATGTCCATCTAAAGTGGAACATAAAGTAAACTGCACTCAATTTCTGAAGACTCTGGATCAAAAAAAAGAAACAACAATTGGATACAGTTTTGAATCGGTATTATTGCTTCCATCCGTAGAGAGGCAGACCGGAGCTGTTTTAATGCAATCAATAAGCTGAGGATTTATTTTTCAAACCCATTTCTTTAACAATTGCACCTGTTTTGATTCTTGCACCTTGAGTATTTCTTAGCGATTTCACTATCGGGAAACATTTTTCTAAATAAGCTGCAGCTTTTAAAGTTTTAATAATAACTGTGTATATTAAGCCTGGCAAATGATCTTCTAAAAGTGGGAACATAAAGTAAACTGCAATCATTGCTGAAGATCTGGATCAAAAAAAGAAACAAACAATTGGATACAGTTTGAATCGGTATTATTGCTTCCATCAGTAGAGAGCAGACGAGCTGTTTTAACCTTGCGGCATGGTGGGTCAATATATGTCCCACCTAATTAATATTTATTTCTCAGTTCGCAATTTCGTTAGAAATTTTCAATTTTAAAATAATCTATTTTAGTTATTATTTTTTCAGTAGGGTACCTCTACCAGGCTAAGTTTATAAGCAAAAATCTTCAAAAAGGATCACAGATTGATATCCTGTATCTCGCATTTTTCAATTTTAACACTTTGTATACATTATGATATGTCTGATCCTTTTTAATATTCAAGTATTTTATTTTCAAATCTTAATTAATGCAATATTTTATAACATTAAATTTTCAGTGATCAGTGGTAAAATTGTCCCACCACACACTTGAATTTCCGCTCAATAGATGGCAGCATCACGATATTTTTTCTTTCTTTTTTGCATCTACTTTTTCGTGATGCGCGCTTTTTACATCCGTTGTAGCTCTGATGGCTAAAATGTGTAAAAATTAACAACTCAAAAGCTTTGGATCTTTTTGACTGAATTGCATCGATGCGATCAATGCTCAGATGTCAGTTCTGATCAGTGAATGAATCCAGAGAGAATAACTGAGTGAAGTTATCGCTGAGAATAAAGGAAGTAGTATAATTTGTTCGCTTTTAAACAAGACCCATCTATGCATTGGCACTGTAAATATGGATCGGAGTATCTACCCAAATTTAAAGAAATTTATTTAAGAGAATAGAGACTTTAGTTAGCGATGATTCAATTTATTGCTAAAATGAAGGATAAAAGACCGTTTCTATCCTGTCTGCTTGGAAAAGGCACTGGAGAAAGAAATTATAGAAAGACGAGATGGAAAGCAAAAAAAAAAAAAAAAAAAAAAAAAAAAAAAGTACTGTGCCCAAACATATTATTCCTACAATAAGATATGGATATGTCTACTGATTATCAAGAAGACTATATGAAATAGACCGCAAAGCAAGAAATGTGGACATGATTTTTTTTACTTTTTAGATGCGAGTATAGAAACACATTATTCATTTTCCGCGAACTTTCATGATGTAAAAAAATGAAGATTTCTTCTCTCGTTAAGAGGTCAATGGCACTTGCAGGCAAGAAAGAGCTGAAAAAAAAATGAAATCCCCAGTTCAATCAAACTAAAACCCATCGTAACCAGCAAGACACTAAAAAATGTAAGAAAATGCCAAATGAACGAGCAGGCGAGATGTGCATATGCGCATATCGAAAGAAAACGACACATTTGAGTGGAAACATGTGAATTGCCTCTATGCTTACAAAAAAAATGAAAACAACACACGTTTTTTCATGAAAGTACGTTTTTTCAATTTATCAATATAATGTTTTTGATCAGTGCCAATTTTAATATTTTATTTATTACAAGGACGATTACAATTTAATCTTAATAATATCAGAAATTTTCTTTTGTTCCTAAAATTAAAAATATAATATATACTACATGCAAATATGCATATGCAAAATTTTACAGTCTTCATATATGCAAAAGTACAAAATGCATTTATGGTTATATGAATATTTTATAAGCACGCTTATTTTGTTTTTATTCACATATACTTTTTTTCTGCTATAACCAATATGCTCAAGACATGTGCTTTTGCATGTGGGACAAACGGTATCCCACCTTCCCCGTAAAAAAAAAGCGCAAAAATTTTTTCAAGCCTTAAAGGCACTTAAGTAAGTCCATCTACTTATTCTAAGCATTTTTTTAAAGATTAAAATATATTTTAAATATGCGTGTCGCAAAGGGTTAAATGCAGAGAACTTTTAAAGTGAGCGTTTAGTTCAAATATTATGGCAGTTAAATACCCTTAGTCATTACAGTTAACATGGCCACTATAAATTTTATTATTTTTTAAAAATCATTGTTAAAAAACACTTAGAACATAATCTAATAACATTTCACAGTTTAAAATGGATGCAATTTATAACATTGATTCTTAAACAGTATCAGGATAATTACACATTAAAAACTACAAAACATTTGTTTTGTAGCAACAACTCACAACAAAATACTTAAGAGTCTTTTTACACAAACCAATGTTCCCACCATTTCTGCATGCTTTATCTCCTAACTTGCCAATCTCTTAACAGTGTACCTAATGATGTTCTGGTACTTGATCTGGTAAAAGTTAAATAGTCTAAAACCTCCGATAGACATGAAACAAATTATTGCTATCTCTAAAAGTAACTACAAAGTTACATAAATGTTTAAACAAACTGCTTATTTAAAAAGAACTTATAACATACAAGCACATTCTTATGTTGACAAAATCAACTACAGCTTGTGGTGATGCAATTAAACAGTAACAGTTAAATTCAAACTAAAAATATGGATTAGTAGTCAAAGACTATACAATTTAATTTTAATCTAAGCTGTCTCAA